TTTATTTTCAAACCAGTGGTTGTATAATTCCCCATTTTAATGAAAAATGTAATTGAATAAAATATTTTAACCATATTTTGCAGCTAATCTGTATACAGGATGGCTACCTTTCTTTGCTGACAGAAAGTGGAGAAGTTCGAGAAGATCTGAAAGTCCCAGAAGGTGAATTAGGCAAAGAAATAGAAGGAAAATACAATGCAGGGGAAGATTTCCAGGTAAGGATGCCCATTTTACACTCTTTATAATGACACCAACTACTGTAGGAGTGTTTCTTATATCTTTTCTTTTCCCCCATGAATAACAGTTTTTTCTGTAAAGCAAGGGAAGTGCTTTCTATCTAAGTGTATCATTTATTTTTTATTTGTTGGTTTATTAAATTTTTATGCTGCTCATCTTCCCACAAGGTGACTCGGTAGTTATAAAGTTACAAATTATAAAACAAGTAAAAATAATTAAAACATTAAAAACCACACAGATTAAAATATTGTTTCAATTGTCAAAAATATTGTTAGTTTTGAGTTAGGTCTGTTTCTGTCTTCGCATCCATGTTCTATGTGGAAGTCGCCAATGTACACTCTATCCTTTACAATGAACATGAATTTTAACTTTAGTTAGGAGTACTTCAAATACCTTATTGTCTTTCCACATTATTTAGATAATCCATGATTTAGAAAACATCCCAATGCACAGTTAATGAACAAAGCAAAATTAGCTGGATTCACATCCATAAAATCATAAACCTTGGTTTATAAGCATAGATTCATATACAAAAGTCCATAAATAAGTAAACCACATTTTTGCTTAGTGTGCTTTCCTAGTTTTTTTTTTATATTTATGGGAAACGAAGGATTTGCCCAATAATTTGTTGTAGGAATAATTTCAAAACTAATAACGTATCAAACTACCATTGATGTGTTGATTGAAATGATAATATAATGGAATTGTAGAACCTAACAAAATTATTTTTTCCCTTTCTGTAGGTGTCAGTCATGTCTGCAATGAGTGAAGAATGTGCTGTAGCCATAAAACCTTGTAAATAGGACCACCTGGATCAAACAGTTGCTAAAGTACCAGCAACTGCAAATCTTGTATTTTAGTTCTGATTATCACCAAAGCTATAACCTTCACTAGCAACCTCGTGTCTTTGTTTGAAAATAGTGCTGACTGATGTTGCAAGCAGTTTGGCAATATTAAGATTGCTGAAGTTCAAGTGCTTACAGGAATGGCAAGGCAGTCAAAAACTGTCATTTTAGATCATGAGGTATTCAAAAATAGTATGCTTTGCTCAAATGAGACTGTATAGCAGTGCCAATTACCAAGGTAGTACTCAAGTTTGAGTTTATGTACATTTTAAACAGAAATAACTTTGTTTTAAAATCTTAAACATGGTAAAATGTGGCTTGCACTGAACTGTGAAGCCTAATTGGGCTAGAGACAACGGAACTCGTGTGATCAAAATGCCAGTGCTGATGGCTGTGTATAGCAAACTGTAGCTTTGCTGGCTTGCTCTTAATTGGTCACAATTTGCTGTGATGTAAACATCCAGAATTGCTGGGTGCTTTCATACTCTGGTTAATAGTGCACAAATGTTGGAGCAGGGTGGAAAGGAGATTCACTAGAGGCCTTTGTTTTCAATGTAGAGTTCAACCACTTCCAGCTTTAAACAAGGCAATGCCTCAAGAGTTACAGTATTTGATTTGGCTTTTAACTTTTTTTTAGGTTTATGGCATAAGTAAACTTTTTTTTTTAGGAATTGAAGCAAACCTGCACCTATCAATGGCCTGAAGGCTAAATTTCAACCCTGTGTCACTGAACAGAATTTGAGCCATGGATTGTCTTGCAGAGTTTATAAAGAACTATGATAGCGCACTCTATCAAACAAATGAACCTCTGGACTATAATAGAACTGTTCTGATTCAAAACCTACTTGAGAAGGATTGGTTACTCTGCACAGGCAAATGCCTAACTACTAATCAACCTATTATCCATGTGATCTTTGCTTGCAAGGTCATGTTTCAGCTTGATTAGCATTTGGGGAGAAACCTAATTACTTAAATTTGCCTTATACTTTGGTAGCAAATGACTAACTTGAACTAGTGACTAGATTCTTAAAACATGCTTAGTTTATTGGCAGGTTTTTTTGTGGGGGGAATAGTAAGTAGGATTTTGATTTGCCCTTAAGTGGTAAAGCTAGAGTAGAGGGAAAATAAACTGCATCTGGATCTTTATAAGCTCTAGATTTAAGTAAGCAAGTATCTATGCAGAACAGGGGCACAATACAACTTAATTTGGCAATAAACACTCTTGAAAAAAGCACAGTCTTGTTATAGTGGTAAATAACTACATGTTTCAAGATCTAGGGCTACTAGGAAGCTGAAGGATTCTAGCTTATTGTTGAAAATTTAATCATGTGAGTGTTCCTTAATACTGTATTGTCAATATCCATACCAGGAATGGAAGTCACAGTTTGAAATGTGGACTCCCATTTGCTAGTACCATTTGTGATGATCATTTGTCCAACAGTTATCTATTGTGCCTGAGCAGCTGAGAATACTGAGATAATATTTAAGGAGTCCTGCTAGTATCTTCCTAGTGGTGTCATCTTTTAAGAATTCCTTACCAGAAGTACCCATTCCTGAAAGTGGTACTTAGACTTCAAATTAATTCCTAGCAGTCTGAAACCACAAGTCAGGAAAAAAAAATACAATGTCTATAAGGTAGATCTTATGTAGGACACCAGTAAAACTACAGTATTTCCAACAAGCTAATAGCAAAGCCATTTCTCTTGTAGAGGTTAATTGTCTACAAACCCACTAAGTTTACAATACTTTGCTATTGAAACAATGCTATATATTTCAGGTTGTTTGAGCTGTTTCAGGGCCATCATGTTCCTATGAATCCATGTTTAGATTGTTTTTTACTTTTTAGTTCAAACCATTTAATTTTCAAGAGCAGGGTCAGAATCTTACAAGCTGAGGGCCAAAATGAAGTCTGAAATAGTCCTGTTGTCAGTTTGCTATGATCTAAGCTATTTGCTTGGAATCTTTTGTTCATTGGACTGCGGATTTTTTTTTTCCTTAGATGTTAGGGATTCTTTTGTTAAAACCCCAATTTACCTCTTGATGTCTTTGTTGTCTTGCATCTGTGCGCAACGAAACCACTGCTAGTTGAGCCATGACTTGAGTATATTCTTCTCAGGGCTGCTCTTGTGAAGATGTGAAAGAGCTTAAGTTAATTATTTTAACAAAGCTGCTTAAAAGTTGTAACAGGGTTTTGTATTGCATAAATTTATAGCATGCCTAGAACACAAGTAAAATTTAGTATATTGAATTAGTCTAAAGGAGTCAAACATTGTGATCCATCTACTCTGTAGGTTACATGACATGTTTGACAACAGTAAGCTTTAAATGTTGGAATGCTGACTATGGGAATTTTAATGGAATAAGCTGTGTTAAATTTTTGTGAGTGTGTAAAGATCAAGATTCTTATCTGTTACTATCAAAAATTTTCACAGTATAATTAAAGACATTGATCTTTGTGGTGTTTAGATTGTGGTACTGTACTTGTAGAATTCTGGGCTTTCACATTCAGTGATTGTTACATTAAAAAAAGTCATTGTTTTAAATTAAATGTGGGGGGGGGGGGAATGGTTTTGTATTTGCCACAATAGGAATCTCCCATAAGTATGCAATTATACCTACTGGCAAGTAATGTATGCAAAGTTCATTATATAAGAGTGCCCTTGACTTTAAAAGCAAAACTTGAAAGGTTTCTACTTTTTCTGCATTTCTGTAATAGTGAAGTGTTCATATGTTTAAGAGTTCTTGGCTTTTAAGGACTTGTTTTAACAAAATGTTTGAATTATTATTTGAGTCACAGTAACAAAAAAATAAAGTTTAAATGTAAAGGCTATTTTTATTTATTGTCACTTCTATATTTCTACACTACTATAATGTCTTCTCCAGCAAATTGGAGAGTATTTCATTTCATAGCACTTTAGGAACCAGTTCTGTGCTATAGTTCTATTTAACATCAATGATCTCCATGCATAGGTTTTAAGGAAAAATACTGCTCGGTAACAGTTACAAGGGACTTTGCAGGTCTTCTAGTCCAACCCTCTACTCAGCCAGGAAACTTGATACCATTGAAACAAATAGTTGTCCAATCTCTTCTTAGAAACTTCCACAGTTGGAGCATTCATAACTTCTGGGTGCAAGTTCTACTGATTAATTATTCTAACTTTCAGGAAATTTATCCTTAGTTCCAGATTGCTTCTCTCCATTAGTTTCCATCCATTGCTTCTTGTCCTGCCCTCAGGTGATTTGGAGAATAGCTTGACTTCCTCTTCTTTCTCTACCCTTGAGATATTGAAACACTGCTATCAATTCACCCCCTAGTCCTTTTCATTAGACTAGACATCCCCAATTCCTGCAACCGTCCTTTATAGGTTTTAGCCTCCAGTCCCCTAATCATCTTTGTTGCTCTTCCCTGCACACTTTCCACAGTCTCAACATCTTTTTTATGATGTGGTGACCCAAACTGGATGCGGTATTCCAAGTGTGGTCTTAACAAGGCATGGAACTGGAAACCAGTCGCTCCAGAATACCCTCAAACCATTATGTACGGGGGGGGGGGAGTGGAGTTGAGAAATGAGTGGAACGAAGAGTGCAATCAGAGACACGTTTGGGGACCATCCCTTCCACGGTTACCAGCCTTCGGCTTAGTTTAAAACAGAGGTCTCCAAACTTGGCAACTTTAAGACTTCCCAGAATGGAAGTTGAAGTCCAGACGTCTTAAAAGTTGCCACGTTTGGAGATTCCTGGATTAGAACCCCGGAAACTGCAGTCCCAACACACGTGGACGGAGCTGTGCTCTTACCCGGCATGCCTTGGCCCTTAATGAATCAGAAACGCCCCAAACCGGAATCCGAGGGAGCAAACGCTTCCTAGAGGCGCCTACTACTACAGTATCTCTCGGGCGCGTGCGGCACGCCTTTACGTAAGATTGCGTCACAAGGCGGATCGCTATAAAAGAGGGCCGCGCAAAGGATTTCGCTCTTTTCGGAACCCGAAGGCTTGGGTGACATGGCGCTGGTGAGCGGGTTTCGCGCACGCGCTGTCGGCCTTTGGCGAGGCGGTGCGGGTGGTTTCAAGGGAAGGGAAGGAAAGGAGCCGAAACCTTGTGAGGTGGCTGTGGCTCTCGTTGCTTCCGTTGGGAGCTGCGGAGAAGCCGCTCCGAGGTGAAGGCTGCGCTGGGCAAGAGTGGACGGTTAAGCCTCTTTCTGCGAGGGTTGCCTTGCGAAAGACCCTGCCAGGAGGGAGACCAGCGTAACCAGTGATGAAATAAGCACCTATGGGTTAATACAAGATCTAGGTTGCTTTTTCTTTTTCTTTTGTATGTGTGGGGGTATCCTAATGATCCTATAGATCAGTGCTGCTCAGTTTCAGTCCCCTTAAGGTGGGTGGCCTTGAATTCCACAACCAGCTGTGGATAGAGATTAAATAAAACCTGTGATAACTCCATTCTGGGTTGGTTTTCAGTGCATTGCAATCCACCCTATTGCACTATGCCAGATTAGGAAAGGCTCTGCTACAGAATATTTAGACCTTGAAATTGTCAACATAATAATAGCAGATGTTAACCTGAAGGATGTGTTTGGGTTTCTTTCAGCAAAAGGATAAACTGAAAAAAGTAACTTGCAAGTATAACCTTGATCTTACCCATCCTGTGGAAGATGGCATATTTGACTCGGGAAACTTTGTAAGTAACTTAATTCTTAAGGAGTTATATAGTAGGAGCTATATAGTAGGAGTGGTGAAGCTTAAGTGTTAAGGAAGGTAGAAAATTCTCATCATTGTAGTTTCTTTTTAGAGAAAAATTAGGCATATGTAGCAATAGCACTTAAGACTTATATACCGCTTTACAGCCCTCTCAGCTGTTTACAGAATCAGCATATTGCCTCCAACAATTTGGGTCCTCATTTTACCCACCTTGGGAGGCTGAGTCAACCTTGAGCCTGGTGGGATTTGATCTGCCAAATTGCAGTAGATGTAGCTTGCAGTACGTACTGCACTCTAACCACTGTTGCCACCAAGGCTGTATATAGCTAATTTCAGGCAAACAAACTTGGAGAGTAATTTTGTCTGAGAAATCCTTTCCTGAAAAAGTAATTAATTATAATGCCTCTTATTAAATGTATTCATCCAGCTTAGTCCCTTAGCTATCAGATATATTGCACAGGTGTATAATATTAGAAAACTTGCACATAGATATAGCACGTATTGTGTTTGCTAAATTTCTTGGGTGGAATTTTAATAAAAGATGCTTCAAGGGGAGGTGCTTGTATGGTATAATTATATTCTGTGACTGTAATAACAAATGTTGCCTGGCTAGGGTTCCTTCCCTAGACCCACACCTAGTGCACCATTCCCTAGTGTTCTTTTGCTTTTTTATTTAATTAGGAACAGTTCTTGAATGAGAGAATTAAAGTCAATGGAAAAATGGGAAACCTGGGAAATGTAGTTCACATTGAACGTTTTAAAAATAAGATCACAGTAACGTCAGAAAAGCAGTTCTCAAAAAGGTTGGTTTAATTTTGTGTTGCAACTTTTCTTTGGCTCCTTGCATCATCAATCATTTTAAATGTTTTAAAAATGGTAAAATATAGTACATTAGATGGCAAGTTTAATGGAAAGTACCTATAAAAATTGGACTTGCCATTTTACCCAGTAGCATATTTCCACATAAGATCCTTACCACTGGAGTCTTGTTCTTTTGTTGGGTGGGGGAGGTGAATATAGGGAGGTATTATATACATATGGTAGTATTGCAGTTCTTCATATCATTCCCAGCCACCCCCACAACAATCTTGCCAGATTAGAAATAGATAAGGGCTGGAAATGATAGAGGTGTATTCAGGATGTCTGAAATGAGTTTAGAGTTGAATTCAGTTTCTTAGCCTTCCTGTTTGGCTTGATTAAATTAGAGTGAACTCAACAGATGACGCTAAGGTTACTTTTTCAGAATTCTTGTCTTCTGCTTTTTTTGTTTATAATTCGTACATTCTCAAATATCGAACCTAAATCATTTTCTTCATATGGTTTTAAAGGTACCTTAAATATCTCACGAAGAAGTACCTCAAGAAGCACAATCTTCGTGACTGGTTGCGAGTGGTAGCGTCCGACAAGGAGACCTATGAGCTGCGTTATTTCCAGATCAGTCATGATGATGAAGGGTCTGAAGCTGAGGAATAATGAGTTTTTAAATGGAGCATCATATTCCTGAATGAACAGAGTATATACACTATCAACTATTTATGAGCGTGCATTAACTTATTACCGAACAGATCTTGTATGCTATTTTAAATATCCTGTCACCTCTGAGATATATTTTAAAAGTGTCATTAAATAGCTATTCAGAAAATATATTTTTATGTCTGAAGGCTGAGTTGCGTGTGTTTCATTGAAGTTATCTGCAAAATCTTATTTTTGAAGTATATAATATGGACATTCAATAATGTGTATGATGGACTATTTTCTAATTAAAACCCCAAGTAAAAACTGCCGTATCGGGGTGGATTTAATTTAAATCGCGATTTAAATTGCTAGTAAAAATGCTTACTTTAAATCAATTCAATTTAAATCATAATTTTTAAAGAGCAACTGTCATCTCTATCCCGCAGAGGTAAACCTGCTGTTGTCTCACTGACAGACCCAATATTGCAGAATATACAACTAAGCTCCATTTCATGCTGAATAAACTAAATTATTAATGAATCTTAAATAGAAAACTATCTTTAGATAGATTTTTACTCCAAAAGCATTTTATTAAAATAAAGTCGATAAAATTTTTTAAAAAATCCAATTTATTCTTTTTAAATCAATGTTTATTCACCCTGGCCAATATTCATTTTTTTTAGGAGATACTGTCTCAATGTCATTTTAATGACAAAGGAAGAACTTGTTGTGGACACCATCAGTCCACAACCATTCCAGTTTGGCAGTGTGGGGTGGGGGTGGTTCTGCATGAGTGGCAGGTGCGCGAAGTTCCATGCAAGCATGCCCAGGCTAATAGTTTTCGTGTGGTATGCTGAATCACAAATTGGTCAACCTATTTTTCAAGCTAGTTGTGTACATGTAGGAAAGACGGATTTCCTTAAAGTAATTGTATACTGTGGAAGCTTTAGTTTGGTAACACTTTAACACTTTATAACACAGGTCTCTGGTATTTTTTTCAGAATAATGGTCACTATGTATTATACCATTCTTATGTCGGGTCTCACAGCTGCATTGTATTGATGGAGGCCTTCAGCCTTTTTGTCCTGGTGACTCTGCTTGGAATTTGGAAAAACTGATGGGTGCTATCAAAGATATCTGTTTTCAAAACCAGTGAGAATAACTTGACCCTGAATTTAATATATCGAATTAAGGATCACACCCCCCCCCAAGTGTATGGATCTCTTTCCCATCCCAGCATTTACAAACCCACAATAGTGTGTTGTCATTTCTTGAATATATGTACACATCCTCCCTGCTTTTCTTTCCAGGCAGAATGTTCTCCAGCATTTCCAAATTCTCACAAATCTTTCAACTTAGATAGCCCCAGTGGATATCCCTTAATCCACCAGCCTATTCATAAGTCACTGATGGTGGCTGAACACTTACTATTTACAAAGTGTTTCGTTTTATATCAATCAACCAGAATAGGTCTGGAAGAGACCTTGGAGGTCTTCTAGTCCAACCCTCTGCTCAGGCATCATTTCAGATAGGGTGGCTGCCCACTCTGTCTTGAGAGTAAACTTGCTGTTTGGGGATTTTTCTGCTATTCCTCAGCTCTTTTATATTTTTTATCCAGCACATTAGTAGGATGCAAACACTTTCACATTACCTCTGTTGCACATAGCAACAGACAATCTTCAGGAAGCAGGGAAGCAGGTTTCAGAGCCAAATAGCAATGTAACATGATTGAGAAGTAAAGCAGACAAATAAGCTGCCACTTTGAATGCTTTGTTGTGGTTAATCGAGAAGTTGTGTCTGACCCATTGTGACCCCATGGAATAACCTTCCTCCAGGCCTTCCTGTCCTCTACCACCCCACCCCAACCGAGTCCATTTAAGCTCACACCGACTGCTTCAGTGACTCCGTCCAGCCACCTCATTCTCTTGTCGTTCTCTGTCCCTTTCTTTTGCCCTCAATTGTTCCCAGCATTAGGCTCTTCTCCAGTGAGTCCTTCCTTCTCCATTAGGTAGCCAAAGTATTTGAGTTTCACCTTCAGGATCTGGCCTTCTAAAGAGCAGTCAGGGTTGATCTCCAGGACTGACCGGTTTGATCGCTTTGCAGTCCAAGGAACTCGCAGGAGTCTTCTCCAGCACCATAGTTCAAAGGCCCCAATTCTTTGGCACACAGCCTTCCTTACGGTCCAACTTTCACAGCCATACATTGCAACTGGGAAAACCATAGCCTTGACTATACGCACTTTTTAGTATGCTGTCTAGATTTGCCATAGCTTTCCTCCCCAGGAGTAAGTGTCTTAGTTTCTTGTCTGTGGTCCCCATCTGTGGTGATCTTGGAGCCCAGGAAAATCTGTCACTACCTCCATTTCTTCCCCCTCTTTATTTGCCAGGAATTGAGAGGGACAGATGCCATGATCTTAGTTTTCTTAATGTTGAGTTTCAAGCCAACATTTGCACTCTCTTCCTTCACTCGCATCAAGAGGCTCTTTAGTTCTGTTTGTTTTTAATAGCCACTGGGTTTACCTCCACGCAGAATGGGGATAATGGTAGTGAATAGGTTTATTGAGGTGTCACAAAAGCCCCAGCGGTACAAATGCTACAGATGAATGAATTGGGCTATTTCCATTCTGTGTCAGTTTTGTATCTATCAGTTGTCAGTCAGTTCCATCCAATTTCTCTCTCTGCTCTTATTATGTTTTTATAATATATAGGAAGCCCTCAACTTAGGACCATTTGTTTAGAAACCATGTGAAGTTAGGACGGCACTAACACAAGTGACTTATAACCAGACTTCACACTTATGACCACTGCAGCATCCTACAGTCATGTGGTTGCCATTTGCGAGCCAACTGCCAACAAGCAAAATCAATGGGGAAACCAGGAGTCGCTTAGTGACTCTGTGAATTGCTTTAACCACAGGGGAAAAAACGGTTGTAAAATAGGTGCAGTCACCTGGTGACTCGCTTAATGACTGCATCGCTTAACTAAACAGGTTCTAGTCCCAATTGCTGTCATAAGTCAAGGACGGCTAGTATCCTTGGAAGTGGGCTTGTTGAGGGGGTTAACATACCATGATTTGCCAGCAGGTGGCAGTGCCTGGCCAACATAGAATCTGGAAATTAAATATGCTCAGGCTTGATAGGGTATATGGGAGAAAACTTGTATTTCCAGAGATGAAGGCCGGATAATGAAATTGCCTGTGGAGAGTGGGTGGGGGCCCAGGGGTCTCCTGGAAGTGGCAAATTGCCTTTAGATGGATACAGGTAGACCTTGACTTACCACCACAATCAAGCCCAAAATTTCTGTTGCTTAACCAAGGCAGTTGTTAAATGAGTTTTATCCCATTTTATGACCTTTCTTGCCATAGTTTTTCACTGCTACTACTATATAGCGAATCACTGCTACTAGGAACACAATTGTTAAGTGAACCCGGTTTCCCTTTTGTCTTGCTTGTCAGAAGATCACAAAAGATGATATGGGATTCTGCAACCTTCATAAATAGATGCCAGTTGGCAAGTGTCTGAATTTTTACCACGTAACCATAGAGATACTACAATGGTTGTAAGTGTGAAAAATGGTCATAAGTCACTTTTTTTTTTTGAATAGTCACTAAATGATTGTAAGGGAGAACTACCTGCATAAGTGTGAAGTTATTGGAAGTGATTTTATTTAGACTATGTTCATTCCTTTTCATTAATGCCTTTATAAATTAATGCATTATAAATATTGATTATGGATGTAATCTATGTATGTATGTAAAATCAACTTCCCTTAATTTTTCCAAACATCTTTTACGAATCTATTAATTTTGTATTTAACTTTTCCCAAGGCATGCATTGTCAATTCTACTTCCCTTGATATCCTTGAATATATTTGTTGTGTAATGTAACAGTGCTGTAGAATTTCTTAATTTCTGAAGACGGGCAACGATCAGTAATTCATTCAACCACTGTGCATTGCGTTTAAGGAAAAAAGGGCAAGTATGTTCCAATCTGTGTGTTGGTCTGAAAAATTCAAATTGCTACATTCTGAAAAGAAGACTATTATTCTCCAATAATTCATCCTTAAAAGAAGAAGGCCATCATAGAATTTGATGGGAATAGAAAAATGGAGGTTAAATGAAGCTTTCTGTCTATTACTCCTTGAAGATGGAAAATTCAAGTTTGCCTTCCTTTTGGATAAATGTGGTAATTCAACTCATTTAAAAAGCAGAAATTAAGTCAGACATCTGTCAAGGAGATGCTTTAAATTGGATTGGATGTACCAAGCAGGGAATTGGACTCTGCTTACAATGTGCCCTTCTAATTGTCCAAATGTATGGAAGCCACATTTCCTAGTAATCCCCCATATGTTTTGCTACATGCCTACCTCTGGTGGAACAGTTTTCATTGTTTTCTAAAAAGAGAGAGAAATGTATTACCAGCATCAAAGAAGGTTGAGCCTTTGACATTTGAAAGGGCAATCTCTCTTTAGGAAAGTTTTGACCTCCAGAAAAAGAAAACATCAGTGTTTCCAGTTTTATTTTCTGGAAAAGCAATTAAACAACAGAGAGATTGATTTATATTTTTGCTTGTAAAACAATAGCATAGAAAATGGAGATGGGGAACAAAACACGAAAATAAAAATCCATTGTTAAAGAAAAGGGAAAAAAACAAAGTCATTAAAAAGCAAAAATGTACAACAAAGGAAAAAAGAAAAAGATATATCATTTTTATAGTAAATAGTTCCAGTTCTACATATAGTTATCTAATGCTATTATTATTCAAGTATTATTCAGTTATTATTCAAAGCTAATGCAGTCCTAGGCTAGATAGAATCAAGATCACAATGTTGTACCACTTTGTAATGCCTTGGTAAGGCCACACTTGGAATACTGCATCCAGTTTTGTTGCCACAATATAAGAACGATGTTGAGATTCTAGAAAGAGTGCAGAGAAGAGGAACGAAAATGATTAGGGGACTGGAGGCTAAAACTCAGAATAGTTGCTGGAATTGGGTATGTCTAGTTTAATGAAAAGAAGGAGTAATGGTGATGTGATTGGACATATGTTCCAATATCTAAGGGGCTACCACAAAGAGGGGGTCCACCTATTCTCCAAAGCATCTGAAGGCAGGACAAGAAGCAATGGATGGAAACTAACCAAGAAGAGAAGCAACCTAGAACTAAGAAGAAGTTTCCTGATAAAACAA